GGGTGGCTTGCGCACATGTTCACCACGTCTGGATTCTTGGTCTAATCAAAAAGTCCACCATAATGCGTAGAACTTGGATAACGATTCTCCGAAAAGTGTTTATTCTATGGAAGTTCTATTACATTCTGTGTGGCATGTCATCCAACGCTTGGATTTACCGCCATCTGATGCAGTATAGTCTAATATTTTTAGTTTTTTAGTCGTAACTTAGCGAAAAGTTTATAAACACTTGAGTCTGTGCTGCTGAGATTTTACGCAGTTGGATGCATTTTAGCTTACAGGCGATATTTTTGAGCAATATATTATGGGTCCCGTTTTGGAAGTGCCTGTGTTACGGAGGGCATGCACCAAGTCCCGCTGCATGTGTCAGCGTCAATAAATTATGAGTGAATTTTTTACACTCCCACTGCGTTCACAAAGGCCTGGAGAGCTCAGCGACCCGAATGCTACTAGGGAGGCGACAACTGTCGCCTTTAGAACAATGTGCACTCACGCCCTTATGCTCATTTTGGATTGCAGGCGTATGTGCAAGGAGTTTGCCGGTGAAAACCGTGCGCCGGGAGCCAACACTTCTGAATACCCCACATTGCTTATCGTCAAAAACGGTTGCCTTAACAGCTTTGGAATTTATTCCATCTGGGCTGTTTCAGGAAAACACATTTGGGGATGCTTGGTATCGAAGCCTACCTGTGATAACCCCGGATAATGTGTTGCCGCCTGGTGTTATGTAGTATAAATGTGTGAGCCTAGCAATCGGCAGTTGAAATTTCTGGCAAATGAAGTAGGCGAAGAATTTAGTTATTTCATCTGTCGTAAAGTAATGGTTTTGTGTATACGAAGAACAGTGGCATTTTCATAGCCAGAAGTTCTCACAGGAACGGGCACTGACAACTGTTAGCATGCAATACACGACGTCATACTTTCATATTATCGGATAATGTCATGTGGACTGACTTTGTCTCAGACAATTACTGCTCTGCACTGTATTAGTACGAAAAAATATTAGGGTACGGGGAAGCAAACTCATCTTTCGGATAAACGGTTTAATGCATCCGTTAGGAAAATTGGGGCTGCCAGAACTCTTAGATCGGCTGCAGCATTTCTGGCAAGGAGCTCCATAATTTCATGCAGAAATCTATATAGGTTTTTTTCGTAGTGGTCAGTTATTTGTAGGAACACGAACTAGCGGCTGCAGCATTTCTGGCAAGGAGCTCCATAATTTCATGCAGAAATCTATATAGGTTTTTTTTGTAGTGGTCAGTTATTTGTAGGAAGCACGAACTAGGTTTCTCCTCCAATTCTATGACAAAAATTAGAATTGAACGAAACTGGCAAAATGCTTGTTTACGTTACGACTCTGATTGCTGAGTCGACAAATAAGTGACCTCCGGATTGAGCACTTACGAAAGAATTAAGTGTTCACAGATTAAGGAAAGGAAGCTTGCTTTTTAAGAACACATCATGGAACACTTCGAAACATATGAAAATATGGAGTAGATAATTGAAATGTTGTGCTAATTGGCTGCTGATCAACATCGTAATTATTTTGTAAAAGTTTCGTTTCCATGTGAGACCAAGACAATGCGCTTCTGACTGAATATTTCCTCCACATACGGTTGCACCTATATTGTCGCTAGAGATGAGTTGATGTATACAATGTAAATGGACTTGAAAGTCTGGCTTCCACATGATTTGATTAATCCATTTGGGAATTCGCTTTCCACGCGGTCGGACTTATAAGCATACGACAGGTTCAGTACGTTTTAGTACTTCCTTTAGTTTCCTATGACTGACTTGTTTGCGTCGACGTTCTTTCGAGCTACAGGTTCTTCTAGTTTTTTGTGCAGTTTTAAGTTTAAGAGTTCAGAGCTTTCTTCGTATAAGAGGCCGATAAATCGGACTGACCTGTTTGGCGACTGATATCTCGGCTGATTACCATCCCACCACAACCTTACGCTTGTAATTTGGTCTCGCTTGAATCGATCGTGTTTTTTGAGGACAGTCTGGCAGATGACAACATTCATGTTCATCCTGCACTCCTTGCACTGAACTTCGAAAATAACGTTATCCTTCCTATTTCAAATTCTGGTTTTGCAAGGTACATTTGTATGACTTTTCTTGAGTTTTCCGACTAACACAATAAAATGGCGCTTAGATATTCAGCTATGTTCTTCATGTAGAGGTGTGCTACTTATATGCTTCGTTATTGTCTTTTAGACGAATAATTTGTTCCTTTTTAAGCCCTTTGGATGAATTTGCTTGGATGACTGTTTCCTCAGAAGACTATATATAAACGTTTTTCCTTTTTGACCCTGGATTTCGTGCACTGTGCACTGTGTTGCACTGTGTATCAAACCACCTGTATTTTTCGAGGTAGGCTGGTTGCTAGGATGGTTTGGAATTCGATCAACGCGCAAGAAAGTCCTTCAATAGCTGGCTTGTTTGGTACAAATTACACTTGTGGACAATAGTGAAAGCAAAATATATCCTTCATTCGTCCTGTCTTCATTTTTTGTACTATTTTCCGTTTGGCTCAAATTTTATGTCCAGGCAGAGGTTAGACAGCTCGCAGATACAGTGGCTTTTAGAAGACCGCTTGAAACCCAATGAATATCCGACCACAGCGATATGGAATATGTGTGAACAGTGAGCTCACAACGAATAGTACCATAATTTTGTGTTCCTCAGCTCACAAGTACTTCCGTCTATTCAGAATGGATTGGATTTTTTGATCCAGCACTGTGTTTCACAAATAAGATCTTTCATTTCATTCTACACTTCCTTCGAAAGGCTTTACGCTTTCGCTCTAGAGTATGATACTGTGCACAGCTTTTGCAAGGTTGTGGGCTTTTCTCTCCATCCAACTGCTTTAGGCTGTCAGCCGTTCCCCTGATGGCCTTAGACAGCTTCAGTGAAAAACATCTCCACATGATGTGTAGCATGCGCTCTTGTGGAATCATGGATGACCTTCGTTTTCCACCCTGTCATCACCGCACACCGTAGTCCTGCTTCGCTCATTGAGTGTGATTATACTAGAGCGACCCTTTAGCGTCCACCTGTCAGTGTTCTAGTTGGATGGTTTTATCGACAAACGAAGTCCTCACCTGTGACCGTCAGCTCTGGTATGCAGCCCTGAGGACACTCTTGAGTTGTATCACAAGAGGGGAGTTTTGTTTGAACGCGTATGAAGCGTGCCTAGTGGGCTTACTGGAATTTACGTGAGGCATTCTGTGGTCTGGTGAGATATAGTAGTTTATTTTCCAATTCACATAAGATCAAAATAGAACTATTGATGGTTATGACAATTGTAAACAGTAGCAATTTGACTCGGTTTCTGTAAATTCTCATTAATACTTGTGTCTTGTGTCCCTTATCGGCAAACTGCTTAAAGATCACAAAACATATTTCCTTATATTTCCTGTTACCACTTTAACTGGACGATAAAAGCCGCAAAAATCAACCTCAGAGAGGTTAGTCTATATTTGTGCTTGCTTCCAGATGCCTATTTCAGAGCTCAATGTAATAAGTGTGAATGACGTGTCAGCAATCTTTATGATATTTCATCGGAATACTGAAAAATTCAATACCTTTGCCTCCATGACACGGATACCGATTTACCCATCTGATTGGCATAGTACACTCAAAAGTTCCACTACGAGAAGTTAATTTCCAAGTATGAAATCACATTTGACAGCAGCACCGGCGGCATGATTGATGTTTTCCTGATCATTCTAATTTCAGGTTTGCTTCCATCGCAATCAAATACACATTTTGTCGCTATGGTGCACTTGCGAAAGAAACAATAATTACGGCGGCACAACAGTATTTATTATCCATAGACCGAGGTACATAGAGGTACAGGTGACACAGAGGTACACATATGACAGCTGAGCTTGCTTGAAAACAAAGTAAAAAAACACCGGATGCAGATAATGTATAAAGATGTTATGGTAAGACAAAAGACCTGTTTACCAACGGCTCAGCCTTGGTTGAGTATTTTTACCTGACATAGTTCACGCCTGTTAGCTATTAGAACAAACTCGCCTCACAAGTGAAACAGGTGACATTTGTTTACATCACTGTCGTGGGTGTGTCAGCGATGAGTACACTACCTCTCCGAATAAGTACGTAATATTCTCAACAATAGCGGTGAAACAACTAGGTTAGAGTGTGGAAGACAATGGAAGGCAAACATAGTTCAGATCAAGAATGCTGAGTTCTTATACTCTGAAAAATAGTTTTCAGTTTTTCCGGCTCTATTGCTGCTGCGTAAAATGTTCATCCCGACAGTCCGTCTGCAACATTACATCGAAAGTGTGTGTGAGAAGGAATTGCTGCCACGGACTAATTCAGAAACAGACGTTGTATACTGTCAAAATCTAGCAAGTTCAAAACAATGAATATTTCTATTGCGATGCTTCATTTTATAGAAATTCTGAAAATCGTACAGTTGAGAACAAATACTCATGTTTGTGATTACTTCTTATACCTGGAGAAAGACTGCGTGATTGGAGAATTCCCTGCTGCAAGAATGGTCTCTCTTAACTGTTCTTCTATTTTGGAGATTCCCAGAAAAAAGAAATATCGGCTTTGAAAGCTTTCGCTACAGGCAACTGAGACAAGCATGGTGGCCTTTTTTCACGAAGGATGCTACTCTGAAGGTTGTCGAGAACCCTTCGACAACCCACGATCGGTTTTGCCCTCCTTGGGGCTCATTAGGTAGACAGAGTCCTCAAATTGGAATGCAAATGAGTGTTTTTGTCAAGATATTTTGATCATACTTTTTTCATGGATCAACGGTTGTCTGTAATTTTAAATGTGTGCATACAAATGCCCAGTAAGTTTTGTTGAGAAAGGCGTTCTGAAGTTTCCTTTAGAAAACGGATCTCAATGAGGGCCTTAAACATAAAGATCACACTGAGGGTTTCCACAAATGTGCCCGCGTAGTGCTATATAATGTTTACGCCGAAAGCTCGTGCAAGTTTTCTCAGCCGACAGAAGAAATGTCTACGCTAAAAGTCTTCAGAATGACGCTACATATGTGATCTATCTCCATTTGCACTGCAGTGAGCCAAAATATATCGTTCAGCAAAAGAAATCGATAAGAGTTTCAAGATGCACGGGCTTACTAAAAAGACTTCTTTCTTTTCCTCTGAAGTAAACAGTATGTCGTGAATTCAAGCTGAATAGCATGGCTGCGAAAACGTTTAAAACAGTTCAACTGTGTCTGACCAAATAGAGTCTGGTGCTAGCAGCCTAATGCTAGAATAATTCCTTTTAAAAATATAATGACCCGGGCTACACCGTGTACAGAATGTACCTTCGTGGGTTCTATTCCTAAAATGTATTTCTACCCAATCAGAAGTTGGTCTTTATCAAGTATTTTATTTGTTACAAAATTGCAGAAGCCACAGATTTAACACAACGACATTGTTTTCCTCATAACGTCACCTCTTTGTATCTGTTCTTCGGGACTTCGTTGTTGCACAAATCATCGTTACAGCACGTAAACATGAAAAACGCGCTGCCCACCACTTGTGCTTTTGGTTCACATGGGTTGGCTGAACATCTCCTATACGGGGCGACAATATGTCCGTTTTGAAGCATCATGGTAGTCTGTTTGGTAGGATGGGAATGTAAAATTATTCGTTGTTACTGGACTGGAAAAATACGCTACAAATGAGATATTTGGAATTTCATAGTACACACTTCTAAACATGTGCTTTAACTGGCGACTTAACTAAAAATTAATAGGACGATGAATTGTCACATCCGAGAAACGTAGCTAGATCGTCATTGGAAAAAAACACATGGATTAGTTCTAACAGGAACGAAAGAAACAAATCCTACTATTATGCGACCACTAGTACATTCAAAAAGATGCAGCCGCTTTGAGGGAGGTCGTACCGATTTTGTGGTTCTCATCTCCAAATTCGTTAAAACTATTCTCCAGTGTAGAGAGTTTTTTTAAATGGAACGCAAGTATTTCTATGATCTAAGTAAAAGAATGAATTGGTGTCAGGCTAACTGCACAGTTCAATGCCCCAAAATGCAACGCAAAATACAATCAGCTAAACGTGTCAATTGCAAATAATTTTACTAGTGAACGCATTGTGAAACTTGACAGTTATGCATTTCATAAATTACACGTTAAAGGATTGCATACTTTCCCAGAAAATCTCGAATAAATCCCGTTAGTTTTGAGCTGTCGTTAGTTTAGAGAGGTGTTTACCCGAACGTTTACAGCAAACTTCCGAGACATTTTGAAGTTAAAAGCGCATAGTAGGAATACACAGTTTAGTGGGTTTTATTGTCTTTGCAGTCAAATAGTGACTATGCTTCGGTAACAATACACAGTACCCCAAGGACCAGTTCTGATAAATTATGCACGACATTGTATTTGCTACTATTTGCGACAAATGAACAAGGCCGTTGACACCGATCTTACGGCACAGGGACCATATACGCAGTATTAATGGGAAATTTGCGTTCACCATATTTCGTTTTTGGTCTGCTTTCCAGGTCCAACGTTTTCTCAGAAGTCAGCACAAGATGAACTAAGTCCACTATATGCTACAGGCGTGCCTCGCGTGGCACACAACAACGCCAAATTCTTATGATCGGTTGGGTTGTTGACATGTTACCAAGACTCAACATAAATAACATGAAACGCGTCTTGAATGGCTACTACTCCGATGATTCCTGTGACATCCAACTAATTGATTGTCATTAATATCCGTTTACATTGTCACTTTCAGAGCATATGTCAACGCCAGTCATCTGAAAGAAAGTGTTTGGGGCGAATCAGTCTCACTTCCATGTGTCCCATCTAATGGTTTCATAAATGCCTAACCGCCGACATTTGACAAACACTTGCTGCAAAACTTTGATGTAGATTTTCCCACTTTCCTCTGCCAGGAATTCGTTAATATACGCTTTGTTTTTGAAATTGACTCAGCAAATCGTAACACTTGGCATTTAGTAATTCCCAAATATGCATTTAAATTACCACCTAAAGGAGTCCGCGTGGTTCTAATATTTGGACAGAGTTTGAAAGGTGTTCGCTTAACAGAGCATAAAGTTGATTTTCTGTAGAAGATTTCTTTTAGTTAGGCAATACAAACTGTTGCGAAATCGATTGTCAGTACTGCTTATTCCAGTGCACTGTTGTGCCCAAAGGCTGTCGAACAATAACAAACGGCATGGATACCCATGAGATTTGTTGCCTCCATCTATATCGTTTTAAATAGGTTCCTCGTGCTTAAGTATCAGCCGATCATCTTTATTCAAACATTTAAATGAGCTGAATAACACCGCTTCTATCATTTGCTATCTCCACTCTGATCGGCTTTGCTTTCGTGACTGTTATTACTTGCATTGTAAACCTCCTTGTGTACAATTTGTTCTGCTCTATTCACGGCCTCTTAAATGCTCACTGCATTATGCCTGAAATCCTTCGGTATTTCAGAGGTTCATTTTTCGCAGTCATGTTGCTTAATTTTTAGGCATATTATACGAGTGTTTGCCACAACAAAGTTTGCCGGATAGATCGGCGATAAGGCCGCAGCACAACATACTAAAAAAAGACGGTTGAAGCGGACCAGAGAGCAACATCACCAAAAATGATACTCAGAGTGAAAATTTTTCAATTGTAGTGCTGCCCCTGCTTACCGTTATTTTCGTTGGGGGTTACAAATTGTGGCATATGAATTCACGTAGTACTGCGCATACAATTGAGGAGTAACTTACCGCAGGAAATGTATCTCTCATTGCTTAATGAACTTTGAAACCTCAGGCAAGCTTCCAGTCAAAAATAAAGTGCAATGAAAACAGCGACATGTGCCTTTTGTTTGCCAGTCCATACACAGTTCCTTGTAGCACGGCTTGTTCCTCTACAAGTTTTTGTCGTTCACTTGATTTCCTCCCTTGCATCTTGGCTTCATTCATCTGAACTTATGTCAGTGCTATCGGACATATCATAATCTCTTTAAATATGTCCTGTCCATCCGGCAGCACTTGACGCATAACGTTTAAGTATGACACCTCCGATGGTAGAGAAAAATATCATGTAACTGGGGACCATTTTGTTTCTTTTTACTTATTGTCGTCATCGGCATCACTTCTGGCGGCATCTCAGGCGGGAAACATTAGTGCTGCACTGGCACGAATCGTCACTAGTTCATTTAAATGATATAATGAAAGGAAGGAGAAGAAAGGGAGAGTGGTATGACCTACCAGAAACACGCCAGTTGCTGGCACTTGCACCATTGATTGTTTGATTTTCCTCAATAGGTGTTACTATAAATTAACTGAATGCGTTTCATTTCTAATCAAAGTACACGCAACAGTGTGGGAACCGTTAGGAATGATTACTACAAGGCTGTCGCCACTGTTCTGATTGAAGTTTGAAATGCACCCAACATTTTCAGAGGTTGTGCTGGTGCCCTAAGACAGTAAGCCGTTTACCATGCAAGTCTCCGCAATTCATTTTCTAACTAGTATCACTCTACGGAGACAACAAACAAGAATCCTTTAATCACTGTGCTTATAACAGTAACATCTAATAAGTTCCGAACAAGACCAGATTATCCTTGTCTGAGGTAGTTTGAACTAGCTATCACAAGATCTCTAAAAACAGTACTGTGTTCAGTGATAGGGGATCACAGTATGAAAAGAGTTAGAACAATAAATGCTAAGCTCTTTCTTGACGGGACTCTGGCTTAGGCTAAGCGTTCCTTTCTTCCAAGCCAAACCAACCAGTATCCAGAATGAATGCAGCAACTTAGGCAATTATTACGCACTCATATTTTGGGGGAACCCCACGTCAATATTTTTAAGCAATATGTTAATAGAATGTCTGTCGAAATGGCTCTTATTTCATATAGCTATTTTCCTTTTGGATCGGTGTTGACGGCTAGTTCACACAAAAGTGGGAGCTCATTTAGATGATTGCGACGGGACAGAAAGACTACTTGATGTTGAAGAGAAGTTTAGTGGTAGAGATCACAAAGATAGCCTTCGGGTCGTTCGCCAGGCTAAGCAGGTTGGCAGCAAACGCTTCACCAACAATCGGGGTGACAACATTGGTGCGTCGGTGAATGGTAGAGCGTAATTCTACAGCGAACGGGGCCATACGTGGCGTGTCACTGACGCACCGCTACACATGGACGCACGAATGATTTCCCCACGAGTACTGAAGAAACATTTGCGGTCACACTGCACAGCTCAGCTCTTCGTACAACAGAAATTTATGAGAGGCATCAATAAATCCTTAATCCACCTACAACTGACTAGTTGGGATTAAAGATTGCAGGCAATTTTGTATTTAAAAAATTAAGAACCCTAATCCTTTGAGTGTAAATACTCACGTGATTTTATCAGCCTAAGATCGATCTATTCCGGAACAAAAACTGATGGGAGGGTTTTTCTCAGTTTAATGCGCTCTGTTTGGGGCAAGAAAGCCCAAGTGGTTGGAGCGCGAATTTACTGACCGGAAGGTCCCTGGTTTGAATCCGACCTCCGCCTCTCGACTTCTCCTGTCTAGGCTTGGACGACCTGGCAGTATCCCAGCCCTCGTGCTTCCTTCGGGTAGCATGGCAGCTAGGCACCGGAAGGGTGCTACAGATGAACGCTTTCTTTTTCATTCTTTCGTTATCTGGCGGAGGTTTGATTACCTTTGTGAGATATTTTCTTAGGTTGCCCCTCTGTAGCGCAGCATAATTAAGAATGTGGAATTTTCAAACAAAAATTAGATGGAATGTTGACCGTTTCTACTCAAGGAATGCACTATAGCAATAGGCGAAGACATTACGGCAAAAATACCAAAAGAGCTAAACATCCCGCTGGCAGAGTCAATATACGACTTACTTTACAGCTGACACAGTCATCTTTTGTTTCGGTATCTTCCAAAAGGCCACAACGTTCGCACGTGTAACATGTAATAGCTGAAACCGAAGATAAAATATTAGAAATTCACAGCTCATGGAACGTTTTACAAATTTTACACACTGAGAAGGATAGGAAAACTAAGCAATTTGTTGATTGCAACTTTACCTAATGATGGGGCGAAATAAACAATCAAGAGTGAGCCTGTAAGGATGGAGTACATTTTAGTCACTCTTGCTCATTAAGTCAATTGATAGTCTGTTTTCAAAGAAACTCAAAACCAGTTTTATAGCGCGGCCGACCTGCCGAAACTAGATGGAACCACATAGGTCTGGAGTGAATCGGAAAGCGGCTACGAGACAGGTATCTACATGCTTTCTCTGGTGAACCGGGTCAAGTGGTATTTTGAAACATATATTCTCAGACTCTTTGCAACATTTTTCAAATGTGTTGCTAATACACGGAGTGACACAAAAATTTGACAGTGCTCATGGCGGCATCGTATTCATCGGGTTGGGTGTGGGTCTCTGAAAGCTTTTAGCTGTCTTACAAACATTACTGCCGATTAACGGAACTGTCTAGCACAGTAAGGCCAATGAAAATTTGATGACCGGATTGAACATTAACTTGACCATTTGTTAAGCGCTTTTCACTGAATTCTTTTAAAGTCGGAATTCTGAGTTGAAGGACTATTGATTTTATTATTTGCGTGTGCGCTTTGAATGAAGATCTGTAAGGGTAGTTTTCCGACGCAGCTGGGGCTGTTGATCAGATAAAATGATAAAAAATGGACAAAAAGGCCATTAAATTCTCAGATATGTAGAAGGAAACCAAGTAACTGAACAAGTCCATATGCACATATACATTCTAGGTGTCTCGAATGACCCTTAGTTAATTTTTGTAATGTACTACTCATAAGGTTGCTGAAAATCCCTCGACAGCCCACGACCGGTTTCAGCTGGGTTCCAGGTGAGTCTCTCGATAAACCAAATTTATTTGCAAACGAGTGTATATTTGCTAATTTCGTGCAATTTTGTTTCAAGTAGAACATAAATTTGACGGAAACCCGGGGACTGCTCCTACCTGATGAGCCCCAAAAAAGGGTGAAACCGGTCGTGGGCTATCGGCGGATTGAAAATCCGTCAGCAACCTTATGAGTAGTACATTACAAATATATACATGTGTCGCGATATTTCGAATATTGTAGCGATTGAAACATGAGGTGACCTGGTGCAGCTAATTCAGTTGCCTGAGAACATCACAAACGAGAGATTCAGCTGACCCTTAGTCAACTTCATTAACTTGTCCAAACCAGCACTGTTGCTTCTTCTGCCTTGATCGATGACTTGTCCCTTCGGTAAAATTGGTCAAAAAACAAAAAGAAGCGCTAGCCTATCTTGACACAAATTTTTTCTTTCCAAACAAATTTTATCTCAACCCTAGGTGACATGGGGGAAACAGTTAGCATCAAGTTTTGTCTGGCGTTTGCTTGCTTTTTAAGTGTAAGGGTACCGTGTCATGAACTCTTTGAGTATTCACAAGGTTCTGTTTGATTCAAAATAGAAGGCACAGTTCACACATTCATCTACAAGCCAGTGATCATCAGGGTACGTCGATTATACGTCACCTTCTTTACTCACTATAGACGGGTTGTTTTTGGAGGCAAGAGCCGGTTGTTCATCACAGTAGTCTTGACAAAATAAACTCCGTTTTGTATGAGACGCATTTGTTTTTCGAAGGACTTCAGCGTTTGAGGCTTTGTCTATTTGTTTTATCTGACGGACTTTGGAAAACATTGCAAGTGAAAACTGCCATACACTGGCTAAGGAAGCACAACAGTCCTACAGATTGCAGTCTGTATGCAGTCTGATCATTGCAACGGTCGAGTTGAGATCTTTAAGGCTATTCACAATACTTGTGATCAGTTTAGTATGAGGCAGCGATTCTAAATATACCGTTCTTTTAGAACGTGAAGTGCGAAACGAAACGCCATCAAGCACGCTACCTCGGTTGACGGTTTTGTACTGTGACTCATCTGCTTTTCATCCAACCCATATTTATCTATTTATGGCGTGCTTAGAATTTCAATGGAGAGATAAGATGGAAAATATAAGATGAAATTTTGGGTTACAATAATCCTGTGGAATTTTTTTATGGTAGGGGGCATTAGTATGCATTAGCGTTCCCCATAACGCAAACACGAGTGCGAATTTCTTTTTCGATTGAAACTAATTTTCCAATCCATAAACTACTTAATTTGTAAGCCTTGAAACTCTGGAGCGACCTTCTGTTGGAGCAAGCGATTTAAGCCCCGTTCACTAGCAACAGAATCCTCGTTAAAAATGCTGATTTCGTTGACATCAGTGTAAACCGGATTCATTTACGATACGTGAATCTCAAAACTAACAAGTTGTGTAAAAAAAATCCAAACCATAGGATAACACGCTTACCTGACTTGCCAGATGTTCGGAGTTCACATCCCAGCACTGCCTTTCGTATACACTGCTGATGAGCTCTAATAAGAGCGAAACTCGAGTCCAGTGCTTGTAGCTTGGTGTGGACTCACCGGAACAATTACACCGTTCAGACAAGAGTGGTGTGAATATGAGCAAAAATACCAAACCCACAAAGCCCCGCAACTGAAACCAAAAAGTTGCCCGGTGGGTTTCAAGCGTGTGCAACGCTGCCTGACTGAGAACTCCTGACTAGCAGGTAAATCGATCGCCACAACCAGGACAGTTGCTGGGTGGTCGTTCGGTGAATCGGGCACAATAATCACATCGCTCAAGCGTGAACATGTGCGCTTGTTCAGACGTGAAAATTTAGATAAGTCCAACGAGCGTTGGGGGAGTAGTGGTGACATGTACACCTAGCATGTCAGACATCCGGAGTTCAAATCCCGGCACTGCTGCATGCACTGCTGATGAGCTCTAATAAGAACCAAACTCGAGTTCAATGCTCCCCTTTTGTGTGCTTCACCGGAATAACTACGCCAGAACAGGAAGAGGACGGTTCAAACGAGACTAATGTGAATAATAACACAGGAACAGCTAGCGTACGTATTCTCAACGCATCAAATAAACTGGAGTTCTGCTGAATCGCTGTGGTTGTCAAGGCTGGATAAACAATTTTAAACATGCAGATATATTGCTAGCTTGCTTAAGTTCACTGGTAACTGATAAGAGGGCGACTGATCTTCCACATAGAAAGCGCAAATGGCCAAGAGAAATCGAGAAAAGCAGACCAAAACGTGACAAAAACTGAAAATGCACTATTCAGATCGAGAACAACAAACCACAAAGGCAGGAACAGCGTAAGAACTAACCAAATGCGCATGGGCCACACTGCAAAACAACTCACATCGAAACCAACAAAGAGGATACACAGAAAGGTGTGTGAGTCAGCAATTTATAACAACAGATACCAGGTAGTACTTGAAAAATCAAGCAAACAGGAAGAAAGTGCAGCAGAAAGTGTAGTAAATTTGTTTCATTGATTGTGGACGAAAGCTAATTCTCAAGCTGGAAAAGCGGCTCGACATTTACTTCCCCTAATACCATGAAGTTACCTTTCTTTGAGAGTTCAGCTTTGCTTGGTTTGACGATCTTACCAATAGTTTACTAGTTTACTAGTTTACAATAGTTTACTAGTTCAGTGGGTGGGTTTCTTGGTTAGTATGGCGAAATGCGGTTAACTGACCGGCCAATCGGATCTTCCGCTAGTGCGTAGCTCGTGCATGCATTTCATCCGTATTTCAAGTAAAGTGAACGTACTGAATAAAGAACCCACGAACAAAGTCCTCCAGGAGAGTAGATTTTGGAAAGGAACCTTAATCTGCGACAAAATCTGTTTATTCACATTTCAACAAGAGCCAAGAGTGACAAGTTCATTTGATAGCCTATTAACGGAGTTTGGAGGAAGAAGATGATGGTGACGTTAAATTTTCGAGGACCAGCCCGAATACATATGAAACAGAAAATCTAATTGTTTTTGTAAGAAATACGATGAAGGTGAAAGCACCGTACCAGAGCAGGCATCTGATTGTTGTTCAAATTTCAACAGTGGTATTGTAGAGTACGTGACGTATTCTGGGAAGCCTAATAAGGTGGGCCAAAAACGATGCCAAAATAAATCTCATACATCAAGGGCAAGTGAAGGACAGCCAGTTATTATTCCATTACCGGGTGTGTAGAAGAGTTAGGTATGATGCTGGTTCTCCTAATTGAAACCCAACTGAATGACGAACGAAATTACAAGCCAAGAATTGTGAAGCGTTGAGATTTATCAACAAAATGCGGTAGTACACGTACAAAATGCGTCTATGGAAAGGACACAAACCTCGGAGTATGGGTTTTTTGTCTGGTTGTTGCACCAATCGGCACAAGTCTAAAGAAAGCACGGCACGAACGGCAAATCGACGTAAAAACCGACATACGTGCGCGCACACGGGGCCCACTAGCCACACAATGCTCCTAAATTCAAAACCTTTACAAGTGGAGTAAAACATTTTGCACCAAAATGTTGCATTTTGTTGCATATATGCTCAAACCAGAAACCATTCTAGTCTTCATTCATATTTTTACAGTTCACCAAATTTAATTGCCTACTGAAGTAATACTACAACTGGCGGAAAAGTCTGGTGGAATAGTTTCCAAGCATTGTTGAGACCCCGAGATGCCTAAATGGGGCTTAAAAGTTTGGACTGGTATCCTGAACTCAGTTGCCCGATTGCTTTAATCCATCAGGGACACGTCATAGGTTTCGAAAATCCAATTCCATCGTGCGAATACTGAGCATACGCGCAGAGCATATGGTAACGCAAGTGGTGAAAAACGCGTGTGGAAGCTTTGTCAGGATTGGTTCGAAATGTTAAGGGTCAAAAATTTGTAAGCGTCTGTCAGTGAATATTGACTACATGAGGTAGATGCGGAAGACATTGGTTTCAAGTAATGGAAAAGTTTGACTGAGAGGAATGAGTTGCAGTGATGGACACAGTGAGGAATTTACAGAAGGTTATATTGCCGTATTATCAGCCGATCCGTTAGCATTGCAGCCATTTAGCAGATGTACGGATCGGTAGACGTAGTCATCCTCGTCGACAGTGGCTTGGTATCTCAAACACAGCACTTTAGATGTACTGGACCTAAGGATTAGCGATTCATTGATATATAAAAACCGGAAGTGTGGAGCAGTTCCCTCCTCTTCTGTGGTGACAGCAGGCAACTCTTACTACCCAGATCAAGATAAGAAGAAAACCAGGGTTTTTGAAGGGTGCAAGTACAATCGGGCTTTGTACAGTGTGGAGCTAATAAGGGAAACCAGTTGATTTCCTTGTGCACACGCCAAAAGCAAATCTTTTCTACAAACCCGATAGTACTGAAACCGTCTGTGATAAAATTTCGCAGATAAGAGAACAAAATAACAGCCAACTAAACGGCTGAGCTACCAACATCCCGCAAAAAAGCAATCAGAGAATCGCAAAAGTGAATACCATCTGCCTAACGATCCTCGATTCAAGGACACCCGTGCACTTCATCCAGAAGAGATGAGCCATTTTGTTTCACAACGGATAACTAACGATTAAATCCCTACCAAACCTGCGTGGCATCCCTTTTGGACTGGAGCAGATGATGGTGCGCTGTGCTGTATGATAACAGTCTGGGGAGGCAGATTTGTGTGTAGCAATCAACTTAGCACATCCACTCAATAGTTTCTCTATTTAAATGAATGACCCTTTCCTGATCTAAACCAGGAACTGAATGAAACTAGGACGCGGAATTACCCCTTTACGTTTCAATTTGAACCGTCTAAAATTTTTGAACCGAAAAACTAACTTCTTCCAGCTCGCTCACTCTCTCTGAAAACAGGTCCTCTAGAGTATTTATGAACTTCATCGCCTGTAACAGTACTGATATTTTGAAATTTTAAGCAGAAGCTTAGTAGAGAAATTGACTCGTTATGAAATGCAGAGAGTTGACCTTGGCATATGGTGAGCATTCCGTTCGAACGATTTTGGTCAACTCACAGGTCTTCCACCCAATACATTTCAGATGATGAAACAAGAATGAAGAATGAATCTTCCCTGTCTCCGAAAAAACGAAAAGTGGCATTATTTAACATGCATCATGCTTGATGTACTATACCGTTATATTAACAGGCTGCCAACACTGCTCATTATTTTACACCAGAATCGATATATTAACAGAAAACTCAAATACCAATGACTGGTTACGTTCTACAGGAGCGTCTCTCTCCATCATTTTACTGATATTTTGCGGGAAGCGTGACAGTGAGATGGGCTACACTTAGACTGGCGGGGTTTCAAAAGCTTTTGCAGTGTACCCGAATGCTTTTCTACTTCTTCGTTATTCCGCGGCTCTGAGATTATGTTATTTTTTGAAATCAGCAAAGTGTTCCAAATAAATTTTACTATTTTGTGACTTATAGGAGATGTTTCCGTGTTGCGGTGGAATTCTTGAGAATAAGGTACCATACCGGGAAAGAAATTATGCGCAAGTTCTCAAAACTTTTTTCGAAGCAGAAAGGAAATCAATCCGTTTATTGTGTAGACCATATATTGTACATGAAGAAAAATATTTTTATCATCTAGTTTGTAAGGTTTACGGTGGAATTCAAAAGGAAGATGCGTCAGCATTGTTCTCATTATCCTTACTTCCTTCTTACAATGATGCCCCGGCCGACTTTATTCTACAGAACCATTGTATTGTTTTTCAGGATGCAGGTATATTCACCGTATCCAATGGTTGACGTGAGTCACGTGTCACATGGGGCTCTGACAACAGGGCATTGACCAGCGGACAATATATTCTTATCTTGATGCACGTTCTCAGGTACAGTTAATCACAAAAAAACGACGTATCAGAAGAAAGCTGTTTTATTGACAAATGGCTACTCGTGTGTCGGTACGATTCCATTACATTCCGACTTGGTGCAACAATCGAAAATTTTGAAATGTTGTTCTTTTATTTTGATGTCTCTTTTACAAATTCCTTTGACACATCGGCGTTTTTCAACGGTAATTTTTCCTTGGTGCAGGCGATATTTGATCTATTTTGGAAAGAAGAAAGGAAATCTGTGTATTCGTAAACTTCGCCTTTGGCAAATTCATTTAGTACAACAGATTTCGATGCATTAAAAATGATAATAATGCAACTCTCTCTAATAAAAATGGAAGAAGCACATTGTATGTTATTTGATCTTAGTCCTTCAGTTGTGTTTGTAATTTCTTAGCAAAGTTGACGTATAAAATGTAAACATGTAGTCCTCAGAGGCAGCTGATAGTGGGGTCTTCTAGTTCTACAGGATCTCTAAATTTCCAGCACAGCTAAAAAAAATCACAAGTAAAATACAATTTTAGAGATTTATTGTACCTACGACAGGCATTAGCTTCTTGAATAAGCAGCTTGTCAAAAACAAATGTGTCAACGGACCTGCCGGTATCTTAACTAAATACCAAACAGGCCACATAAATGTAGACGTTTAAGTGATCATGAAGGCATCCAATGACCGGGATTGCGAAAGTCCAAACTTTCGGCAACCTGCCACTGTCATGTTATAGCGTGTATTAGGTCACCTGTGGAATTGATCATTAGGAACTTTACTTCATCACCTTGTTATCTTTTGATATTTGTTGGTCGAAGTAGAACGAAAGAAGTCTATTAAACCAAGCTCACGAGTCAGGAATGTGTGATTGGCGTTCGGCTGACACTTTATTCATCATTTTCATTTAAAATTTTCTCTCAATGTTTTGTTGATGGAACTTAATCAAGGAAGAAACGTCCAGAGATTAGTTGTTTTGATGAATTCATTAGATTCTTCCTACTTAGACCAGTCGATTGTGCC